CAGAATTGCAACTGTAACTCAGATCTCCTCCCTCCCATGCCAAACATCACCCAGCCTACTCAAACATGAGGCAAAGGGTGTCGGTGAAAATTAGGCTGTATGGATCAGGGCTCCTGGGGTCATGCTAACTCTTCTTCCCCACTGCTCCACCATTTGAAAAAAGCCACGTTTGGTGAATTGTAATGAACAAATAACCTTGCTCTGGAGGGTCTGCAGTTTCCATCCACATAACTTACTTTGCGGTTCTTCTCCCCAAGCTTCCCCTCAGCCCGTGCCATTTGATGTCTGCTGCCTTTGTGCAACTTTTGAAATTATAGCTTTAAAGCCCATAAGAGCAGCCCAGAAGGAAACAAACGGCAATTTTGCATTTTTCAAAAAGATGTTCTTACTCTACTCACAGCTGAGTTTTGGCTGCAGCTTGTGAGCAGAATAGTAAGTGAGAGATCCAGTCGTGTATTTCCAGGACAATTTGTCTGGGTTCTGAGAGCCATAACTTTTCTCCTTTGGTTGCTTGGTTTTTTCCTATTCCTTCTCTGGTCAAGTATCTATTCACAGGTCAATACCGTGTGTCTCTGAACTCCTGCTTTGGGACCAAAAGCCACCAAGAGGTGTCACGCCAGGATGAATAGACTTTGTGAGCCAAATATACTTCCTCCAGAATTTAGTCTACACTGACAAAGGTCACACTGATTTCAGAAAGAATAACCCCAGAACTGTCCAAGTGATTACATGCATCTCAGAGGACAAATCCACCCTGCTAGAGAGCAGTCAGCTTTCAGCATACAGCCAAGAACCCAGAGCAAATCTGAGTTTGTGCCCCCCAGCCACAACCATTCGATGACTCTGTGAAGTCATGTGGGATAGCAGGGCAACCCATACACATACTGCCTGGTCAGCTGGATGAAATCTCTTGCCAGAACAAGACATTAATTTGAGGCTCTTTCCTTTGTTTAAATACCAATTTCTTTTTTTAGAGATGTGTATTTACTGCAATTACGAGCATACTGGAGCTTTGGGGGCCACCATCTCTTCACCAAACTGGGCAGATGTCTAAGAGACAAAAGCTGTACTGAGCAAACCTGTAGTAAGACAGATAGATATGTAGGCACAACAATCCTATAAGCTTATTTTTTTTTTCCTTTAGGAAAACACATTAAAAAGAAAAAAATATATTTAAAAAGGTCATAGTTTGCACTTCTGAGTTCTTATTAGAGTTAATTAAACTGTTTTCAGATCTCAGTTCTTTAGTTTGTACCAGGATAAAGCAATAGTAAACCATAGTTATCTTACAAATTAATTTTGAAGATTGATTGGCAGAAGATAAGCTATTGTGCAGAAACGAGGAAAATCCTCCTGCATGTATTCTTTGTTTTCATTTTTGCTGAGTAGTTTTCAGAAAGATTCAAACTTTCCTCCCCTTTGCATTCCAAGAAGCGGAGCGAAGGCTTTCCAGCAGAGCTACCCACCAAGTGCATTCTGTGGCTTACTCTCTTTTGCTGAATTGGGAAAAAAAAACCAACCAACCAAAGAACTGGCACGATGTGCTGTGCACTAAAAAGTCTTGATTATCGAGGCTGTTGTCAGGGGCATTTCACTTTGATCATCATTAGAGTGAGATTAAAAAAAAATAAATAGATCACCTTGGGAAAAAAATACATACAAAATCTGTCTGGTTGTAATGCGTTCCATAAAGCACTGCTGTTGGCAAGAAAACTCCAAAGGTAAAAACCAAACCAAACCAAACCAAAAAACCCAGCTCCTCTGTCCATAACATGCATTTTTTTAACATTTACAAATTATTTCTGACTTAGCCACGCAGGGAGCCTACTTTCAACCCTCAATTTGAAAATCATGGAGGCTTTATAAAGTCTTCCACCTGCATCTCTTTTTTGCATCACGGTTCTTTATCCTCTAAAGGATGAAAACCCCGGCATATAAAAACTTTGTTAAGCTGTCACTATCAATAGGGTAAAAAAAAAATAATGGTTGACAAAGAAGAAACAAATTGCATCTTCGAATAAGTTTCCTTCATGCTCTTGTTAAAAGCTATAACCTCTGATGTTAACTAAATTTAACCCATTCTGACCCTGGCGCTGGCCCTTAACCTCTTCTTTATTCTGCTTCCTGTGGTTGCTGAAGAAAACTGGCCCAGCGCTTGGAAAAGCGCTCTCTGTTGCACACAAAGAGGCAGCTTCACTGCTAGGCTGTCAGGAGGGATAGAATAGACGGGGAGGTCAGCACCTGTGCTGAGAAGCAGGTGACAGGGAACTGCCTGGACCATTCTAGGGCAAGTTGTAATAGTTTCTACCCTTTAAATATCGCACTGTAGTTTCGGGTATTCAAGGCAGCGAAGTTCACGTTTTCTTTGTGAATGCAGACTTTAAACAAATTAATCTATTGCTGTTCAACTGACTGTAAAATTAGTAGATTTACTGTTGCAAAAAAAAAAAAAAAAAGAGAGAGCTTTCACTTCCACTTTAATAAGGTCACGGATGTGTCCTAGGCTGCCAACAAAAGCAGCTTTTAAAATCTTTGCAGCTGAACCCAGCAACTTGCAAAGGCTGTTGAACAATGTCTTAGATGTACAGTGGAAACTCCTCTCCCTACAGTCAAGACGTAAAACGAGGCATTTAAAAAACTTACAGCACTGGGAAGTTTTAACTTTAATTGTGCCTCGCCACAGGGACCTACAGGCTGGCTTTATGATTACCATTTTAATAAATTCAGCCAGCCTCGCTTTTCAGGGAGCAAAATCAGTTCCTTGCCTGGATTCTTTAAATCAGACTAAGCAATTTAATGACGGCATGCATCTTCAAAAGAATTGTTTTAATTCACAGAGTAGAGGCAGACTCTTGGAACCAAACAAAACTGTGGCTCTTTGGCTATTACATTCTATGCAGGGCTCTGCTAGCAGCGGCCATTCTTACCACCCAACAGAATTTCTGGGGTTACTTTTACTTTTTGCTGCCTTGTAAGAGTGAAAATAGAGAAGTGTGTGTATTAAGCAGCTTTCAAAAGCTGGAGATGCAAAGAGAGTAAGTGAGCTACTGCAGAACAAGGACCATTTACCTGTGGCTCACCCAGAATATCTGTATCCTTTAAGCATGCATTAACTCCAGTGTGTTCTGCAGCGTGTGGCAATGCTCAGCTCAGAACAAGGGAGTTTTTATCTGAGTTATGTGATAAAGTCTTCATAGAATTGTAGAAGCCTGGGTTAAAAAGGAACTCAAAAATCATCTAGTTTTAACCCCCTGCTATGTGCAGGGTCACCAACCACCAGACCAGGCTGCCCAGAGCCACATCCAGCCTGGCCTTGAATGCCTCCAGGGATGGGGCATCCACAGCCTCCTTGGGCAACCTGTTCCAGTGTGTCACCATTCTCTGTGTGAAAAACTTCCTCCTAATATCTAACCTAAACCTCCCCTGTCTCAGTTCAAAACAGTTCCCCTTTGTCCTATCACTATCTGCCCTTGGAAACAGCCATTCCACCTCCTGTTTATATGCTCCCTTCAAGTACTGGAAGGCCACAATGAGGTCTCCTCAGAGCCTTCTCTTCCAAGCTAAACAAGCCCAGCTCCTTCAATCTTTCCTCATAGGAAAGCCCTCTGACCATCTTAGTAGCCCTCCTCTGGACCCATTCCAACAGCTCTGTCTTTCTTGTGCTGGGGCCCTAGACCTGGACACAGTACTGCACATGGGGCCTTTCAAGAGCTGAGTAGAAGGGGACAATCTCTTCCTGCTGGCCACCCCTTTCTTAATGCAGCCCAGGATATAGTTGGCCTTCCGGGCTGCAGGCACACACTGGCTCATGTCCAGCTTCTCATCCGTCAGGAAAGGTCTTTGGCCAAGGTCTTAGGCCAAGAGTTCCAGGTGTTGCATTAGCCCAACAGTATCAATAACTGTTTTGCACTTGAAAAGTTTTGCACTTGATGTTGGGAATCAGAGCTCCAGTTCAGGAGTAGGGGAGAACTGTGTCACCCCAGTTCACAGCAGCATCTTTGCTCTCTGCCAACTATAAGCACAGATCCAGCCCAACAGAGCAACCAGAACCAGCACACACCTTCTCAGGGACAACTGAACCTGTAGACCTCCAGAATTGGGCTAAGAATATGGAGGAAGCTTCGCAGTAGCATCCTAAGCATGTAAGGTAATACCCACACCCCAGGTCACTGCTGCTCAGGGAACTGCTGCAGAAAGCAACAGTGCCTCAGAGCATTTCCTGTGTGAGGAAAGGCCGAGAGACCTGGCACTGTTCAGCCTGGAGAAGACTGAGGGGGATCTTATTAATGCTTATAAATATCACAGAATGCCTTGGCTTGGAAAGGACCTCAAGGATCATGAAGCTCCAACCCCCCTGCCAGCCACCAACCTCCCCATTTAATACCAGTCCAGGCTGCCCAGGGCCCCCTCCAACCTGGCCTTGAGCACCTCCAGGGACGGGGCATCCACAACCTCTCTGGGCAGCCTGTTCCAGCACCTCACCCCTCTCACAATAAAGAACTTCCCCCTGACATCCAGCCTAAACCTTCCCTCCCTCAACTTAAAACCGTATCAAAAAGACAGGAGTCAAGTGGCAGTGGCTATCTCCTCTGGAGATACTCAAAACCCATGCAGTCACTTTCCCGTGCAACCTACAGCAGGGAACCCGCGTTAGCAGGGGGTCACAGTAGGTGATCTCCAGAGCTCCCTTCCAACCCCGATGGCTCTGTGATTCTGAGGACAAGCAACCTCCTGCCGCCATCCCTGCTGCTTTTAAATGCTCTGGATTATCTACGTGCTGGTGCACAGACTGGCAGAACAGGCCTTGATTTGGCACGAAAGAAAACTAAGCGGCTTTGCTAACCAGCTTGAAACAGGGAGCGGGAATGCGAGCACTGTTTTGTAACACCGCCCAGCACGGCGCGGGCACCAAGGAGACCAACAACGCCGCACGGCGAGCCGGGTGCGTGCGCAGCCCTCGTGGGGCCGGGAGGGGGAGGAGGAGGAAGAGGAAAGAGAAGGGGAGGAAGAGGAAGGGGAAGGGAGGCCTGGCTCCACCCTCCCGGCCGGCCGGGGCAGGTAAGGGCGGCCCGCGGGGAGCTGCGGGCGCGGGGCGGGTCGGACGGAGCCGGGTTCCGCTGAGATAAATGCGGTTTTGGTGTTCTGTGCCCCAAGGGGCTTGCGGTGACAGCACGAGGGGGAGTGGATTTAGGCTGAAGGAGGAGGTGTAGGTCAGGTTCCAGGGGAAATCTTTTCACTCAGAGGGCGGTGAGGCTGTGGGTGTCCCATCCCTGGAGGTGCTCAAGGCGAGGTTGGATGGGGACCTGGGCAGCCTGAGTTGGGGGGGGCTGGGTGGGCCATACGTTCACACAGAATCATTTGAGTTGGAGGAGACTTATCAAGGTCATCTGCACCAACCCCCTGCAGTGGATGGGGGCACCTACAGCTAGATCATGTTGTCCACAGCTTCATCCAGCCTAACCTGGAGTGTCTCCAGGGACAGGGCAGCCACCTCTCGGGGCAACTTGTGCCAGTGCCTCACCACCCTGATTGTAAATAACTTTTTCCTTATAACCAATCTAAATCTTCCCTCTTTTCATTTGAAGCCATTCCCTCTTGTCTTATCACAACATGCTCTGCTAAAGAGTCTGTCTCCTTTCTTACAGCCCTCCCTTATTTATCAAAAGGCCGCTCTCAGGTCTTCCTGGAGCCTTCTCCAGGCTGAACAGCCCCAGCTCTCTCAGCCTGTCCTCACAGGGATGTGTTCCATCCCTTGGGTCATTTCTGTGGCCCTCGTCTGGATGTGCTCCAACAGCTCCATGTCTCTCCTGTACTGAGGACTCCACATCCGCATGCAGTACTCCAGGTGAGGCTTCACAGCACAGAGCAGAGGGGCAGGATCACTCCCTTGCCCTGCTGGCCACACTGCTTTGGATGCAGCCCACGACACGGTTGGCTTTCTGGGCTCCAAGGGCACATTGCTGCTTGTGTCCCGCTTCCTATCCACCGGTACCTTCAAGTCCTCTTTGTCAGGGCTGTGCTCCATTCCTGCATCCACCAGCTTGTACTGACGGCAGAAGTTGCCACAGCCCAGGTGCAAAAGATGTTGCACTTGGATTTATTGAACCTCAGGAGATTATCCTGAGCCCAGTGCTTGAGGTATCTCTGGATGACATCCTGTCCCTCGATGTGTTGACCACGCCATACCATACAGCTTGGTATCATCTGCAAACTTACTGAGGGTGCACTCTTTATACTGATGTTTTTGCAGCTGTTAAAAAAAAAACAACAGATGATTTCTGAAGTCTGTAACAAAATGAGAGGAATGGTCAGGCACTGCATGTTTTCCATTCCTTGTATTGCAGAAAACCCTTACCGGTGCCTTTATTTTTTGCCTTTTTTCTTGCACACTTTTGTTGGTATTTGAGAAAAAAATCTAATGATCATGATTTTTACCAGATGGTCTGGTGGAATGTCTACCATAAACTGTGCTTTCCAAACAATTCATGCTGCATAGGAGTATAGCTGTATGTAAGAAATTTCACTAGTTTTGACAACTGCAAAAAAAAACCTGCTCAGCTCATTGTAATTATGCCACCCTAAATTTAATGTTTGTGTAAAACTGAAAGAGGCAATAAGCACTTAAAATGCCTGATTAAAATAGGCGTATAATTAAGGTATTGTTTCAACTTTGGGCCATGGCTGAATGTGGAATTCAAATTTAGAGACAGGAAGCCCTTTTTGCTTTTAGGTTATAGAAATAATGCTGGTGCTTCATGCATATAAAATCAAGTAACCATCTGGACTACTTGCATGAAATGATCACTGGAAAACTTGTCTGAGAAAAAGACACAATTTGGGGTTAGCTTAATGAGAAGCAAGTTGCGTGTATCCTAGGAAGAGTTTTCAGTGCTGCAATAAAACATACTGTCAAGTATGGTAGTGTTTGCTTTGTCCCACACCATGGTGAATATTGTGCATGGTAATCTTGTACTGTATGGTTAAAGCTTATGAAACTTGGCAGATGTTGGGGCGGCTGTTGATGGGCCTTGCATGGATCACCATTTCATTCGCTGAGTGACTGAGGCAGATCTGAAGCAACAGGGCTTAAATAAAATGCTTCCCAAAGGTGCTGAAAGAAGTCCCAGTGTTGTGTATTTCATGAAAAAAACCCAACAACCTTGCACTGAATGTACACAGCTTTAAAAGTGAGACATGTCTTTTTATTTGACAGCGCTTCCTCCCTTTTAACCACTGGCTAATCTCTGCACAGCTGTGTTAGAGTAGATACAAGGAGAAATGAGCTGGAAGTTTTGGAGTCTCTAAAGGGATTCAGGCTCAAACATTAAGGTATTGAAGATAATGTCAACTCAATACATTTTCTTTCATTGTAAGATTTTCTCTCTGGATTAAAGCACTCTTTGTTACTGGAAAGCTCCTGTTGGTTGCTCGTTTTGTAGAGTAACACCGCATCTTTTCCAAAGAGTGGTTTTAAGGATCGGGGCTTACTGAACCAGAGTTGGCCTTTCTGATAATGCTAACTAGAAGAATCTGACAGTTGGAGGTAACTTGTTTTCTTATTCTTCCTGTTCCTCAGAATGACTTCCTTTTGTGTGATGAAACTTTTATGCCAAACAACCAGAAGTGAGACTGGATATGCAAAACGATTCTGTGGTACTTTCCTGTCATGGACAGCACAAAAGGGAGTTTTCCCTCCATTCTGGATGGTGGTACCTGACCCTAGAAAGACAAATGTGCTTGTATTTGCTCGGCCATTTTGTACAGCTGAAAAATCTCACAAAGATCCTAAAAGGAAAGCAGCATTTGGAAGCGTTGGGCGAAGAATTCCGTATCGGATTTTGCACGTAATCAACCAGGATGGAGAGAGCTTAGGAGATATGCACCGAGCAGAGGCACTCAGACTGATGGATGAACATAACCTGAAACTGGTTCTGCTTCGTGAGAACGCAGAACCTCCTGTGTACAGACTGATGACTGGGCAACAGATTCATGAGGAGAAGCTGAAACGTGCAGAGAAAGAAAAAGCAAGTCCAAAAACAGGTACATACATTGTTAATGTTACAACACTGAGCACTTCGAAAAATGATGTATTAAAAGTGGTTTCAGCAGATTAAATCCTCTTACTTGCATTTGTGTAAATCCTGCAACGTCACTGCAGTCCATGCTATTAGGGATTTGCACTGGTGAAAATAAAATTTTGGATTAGTTTAGGCTTCTCCACAGAAGCCTACTATTGCCTTCTCAGGATTTACTACTTGGGCATCTGCTGGCTTTTATTTTTTTTTAAGCTATTTTTATTTAAGTTAATACAGCTAGACTCTGGTTCTGTAAGGCTCACTGAATTTCTCTTTTACTAAGGCATAAATGACAGACACTTTTTACAACTCTGTGTACCACATACACAAACTTGCCTCCAGTGATCACGAACCGTGGTTGTGAAACTTTCTCTTCATAGCCTGCTGCTAGGAGGAAAAAGTCTGGAGCCCTTTCTTTTAGAGAGGAAGCAGGCTTTTTTTTTTTTTTTTTTTTTTTTTTTTAAGCCAATCTGCTCGAGCAGTTGAACAAATTGAGTTTGGCAAGGATATTTTAGAAGACATCTGACCTTGTTTGTTGATCTCAGGCTGAGGAAGGTATCTGTGCTCTGGGCAGAGTGCTCATTTTAGAGAGCACACTGTGGTAGGGAGTTTTTCTGTTCCAGAGACTACAAAAAGATCGTGCACGTGCTAACTAACTGAGAGAATTCTTATGGAGGAAGGGAGCATAATTGTACTGTACTTCCAGCTGGATATTTTACCGTGCAAGAAAACAGGCTTGAGATGAATAGATATTTATTTTCAAAGCTTTCACATTCAGCTACATTATGTGCAAGATGTAGGAGTTTCCACACTAAGTCTCAAGTCCACATCCAATGCTTGCCTATTTATCTTTGTTAGACCTGCGTTGTGGGTGGTATGAACAAAACTGCAGTGAAAACAAAAATACTTTAAGCATTCTGAACCTGAAGAGACTTCCGTGCGTGCTCTACACACGCAGTCTGTCTCCCCTTTAGAGCAGTGACTGAAATACCAATTACCCCTTCTAAGGTGAGAGTGGTATGTGCTGACACAGTGAGGCTGGGATACTCTGTGTATGAGAAAGCAGCATGGGAGAAAGGGAGTTAAGCAAAGCACTGGAGGCTGCTGAAAGAGAGCAGATAGATAGCTTCTCTCATGCTATGCTAACACAATCTTAGCTCTGTTTTAAACAGTGCTGGTTCAGAAGGAGTTATCCTTCTCTTCAGCTATTGCCAAGAATGACTTGGAGACCAAGACTAAACAGATAACACACTGGATTGAAAAGAAATACCATGTGAAAGTGACTATCCGACAGGGAAGAGACAGCAATACAGACACGGTAAGTGGACAGTCCATTGCATGAAATAGCTGTATTTGTATTTACTTCTCCCACACCGTTCTGTCTTCTGATTTTAATGCATCACTTGGTTGTGATGTGAATGCCTGTGTCCCATGAAGTTAGCTGTCGCTTCACACAGTCCCATAGAGACAACTCAAGTACTATGCTCTATTAAGAATGCAGGCAGAATAGTGGGCTTCTTTGTAGCATCAGCTTATGAAGTGGGCTGTAAAATTGTCCCATCTGTACCTTAAGCCAGCTGAGATATTTTGCAGTAATGTTTATGAAATACTTTTATGTTTCAGTTGGATAACTTAAATAACTTACCTGTTCTTCTGAAGACACTACTGTAGAAAGCTACTGGAATTGTTTCAAAAGTGGCAAAGTAAATATCTATAAAGATTTTAGGGCTTCATGTCTTGTCATGTACATAAAGAGGGGGGGTGGGGGGGGATAGGGAGGTTGGGGTTTTTTTTGTTTGTTTGTTTTAAACCAAAACAGGATGAATTAGTAATTTAGCCTAAATATTAGGAAATGGCATAATCCTGGTGACTTTCCTAAACCTCCTTTAATGAATAAAGAATAAGTGGTTGGGAAAAGACAAGCTGAAGTGTTCAAACCAAAACTAGCAAAACAGCCTGAAATATTTTTCTAACCATTGTTGTGCATTTTATCCTATTTTTGCCTCTTTTCAGTTCACGCTTTTTGATCAGATTTTGGAGGCTATATCTGACAAAGCCACTTATCTTTCCAAGCCTAAAGCTATTAAGGAAGGAACAAGTGTGTGCATTCTGAGACACATGTCTGACAAAGAGTTGAAAGCATACCAGAAGATGGAAAAACAGAAAAACAGTATGGTAAAGAAAGATGAAAATGAAGAGCCAAAGTCAAGCGAGCTGCATTAATGACTTTATGAGGAGGTACAAACAATACTATTACAAAAAGGACTATAAAATAAAGGTTTTTTGCTGGACATTACAGTGGTCATTTCATGAAGAAAAATTGCAGGTAACTTTTACCGCAGAGTCAGAATTTCCACAGTTGGGATTCCGTTTTCCATGGGCGGATCTGCTGTCGTGCATTCTGTCACAGCCACATCTTTTCCTGGCTGTGCTTTAGGGGGAATGTAACCACTCAGACGAGAGGCTAAGCTCCTCTTAGGGCGAGAACGCTTTGCCTGGCAGAAGTAAGAACAGCATTAGTGACTTCACGTGTGTACAGCATAACAGTGGAGGTGCAGAAAAAAAATAGGGAAAAGGCCAGCATGTTATTTACAAGACCTTCAGATAACAAAAATCTCCCAAAGTAAGTAGATAGCTGGCTTGCTTTCCTACATTTCCACATTCTAAAACACTTAATACTAACCCTCTCAACTGTATTTTGTCAACTCACAGAGGAGGACTTCAAGATATGACTTACTTTTAGCTTTTTCTTTTCAGGATCATGGTGAACTGCGTGCCTTGCTAGGCTCTGCTACAGTTAGAAAAAAGAAAAGAATGTTGTTATTTCAGATTATGCAGTTCAGGGTAGGACAGTGTGAAAATACATACCTTCATTGCAAATACTTTTCCACAGCCAGGATGATCACAAGAGAATGGTTTCAGCTCCTCGTGAAAAGAGAGGATATGGCTTTGAAGGTTGAACAGAGTTGTGTAAGTTCTGTCACATCCTTCTCGTGGGCAGCGGCAGACTTCCCTCTCTGCAGCATGTATTTTTTTATGCTGCTTCAGGTAATCTTTGCGTTTAAAAGTTTTAGAACACTCTGTACAAACAATTGGCTCTGAGTCGAGGAAGGAAAGAGAAGCAGAGTATAAGTTAACAGCTTCTTGCCAGGAGCTCAGAGTTAAACCCTAGCAGTCCTCTAGAAGACAGCGAAAACTCACATGAATGGTAGGGAACACAGAGACTAGAAAAGAATGTGAATTATCCAGATCCCAAATCCTACATAATGCAATTATTCATTAATTGAGTCACAAATCAAAGTTAGTATACTAACGTTTTCATCAGTCAAAAGTGACAACTATTTTGCCATTAAGTGCTAGTAAACAGTTGGTTTAGGCACAATGACAAAGTGAGTTCAGCAAGGCCTACTCTTCACATATGCATTTTGTTTCTTGTTGCTTGCTAATGCATATGAAGCTTACCTGCATGGCTTTCTTTATTATGTTTCAGAAGCTCAGTCCAAGTTTTTCCAATATACGAGCAGTTTTCTTGCTTGCAGGCATAGCCTGTTAGGGACAACACATGATTGCAGTCACAAACACTCTGGCAAACAGTCTAATTTTACAGGGGTGAACTCCATTTTCAGTGTTTGAAAATTAGAGGTAAGTATTCTTCATCTTCCTCCCCATACTAGGTAGGACAAAAGGCAATAGACACAAGTTAGAAGATGAGAAACTCCTAATGGGTTTTATGAAGAAACCTTTTTATCACTGACATGAGCTGTCCTGAGAGGCTGTGAAATCCTTGCCCCTGGAGACATTCAGTACATGACTGCATGCAGCCCTGAGCAGCTTGGTCTAATGAAGCAGATTTAAACCAGATGACCTTCTTTCCAAGCTAAATGGCTTTATGGAACTCTACCTCCCTCTGTCTTAAGTAAAACATATATCCCACCAACCATATACTTTCAGTCAAATATATAACCATAGTAATGTATTTCTGTCTAAATATTTCTATTCCAGGAACTTGACTATAAAGTAATGTTCCCAAGCCTAAAGACACTACCATTTTATCAAGCAGACAAGATGACTTTTAAATGAACCACAGAGACTTAATGCTATTTAAATACCAAGACTGAAAAGACCAAAGAACTATAAGCAAGTCTTAAGAAAAAACCACAATATGAGTCACAGCTTTTGGGATGCTCTTTCTAGTCGCAGATTTCCTTGCTTTCCAGTGTTAGTTCATAACAAAAACAAAGTTAGCTGTCAAAGAATACTAAAAGAATGGATAGCAGTGTAGCAGAATAAGCTCAAACACCCACATGACCACCTACTGACAATTCTACTTAAATACCTTTGACGTGAGAACAGTAAAAATGCTTCCATGGTTTTTGCCAGCGTTACATAAGAAACGTGCAGCAGAACTGGCAATTAATCTTCACTTGTGGACATCTAGGCTAGAGCCTTAACCATTAGCTGATCTTCTCTCCAGAAGATAGATTATTGACAAGGAAGCACTTTAGAAGTCAAAAATGACTTCTAGGGGAACTGAGCTGGGTTTAGCTGGCCAGAAATAAATACACTGTAACCTGAATGATGCAATGTCCTGAAACTGTAACCCAAATGGCAACTCAGAATGGTACTCTGGCTTTGCCTGTCTGAATCACTGGGCACAGAACACTTCCATCATCCACATGGGAAAGATTCCCTTTTCCTTTGCCAAAACACAACTGAAGCAAAAAGAAAAACTGTGTTACCTTCATGTATCTTCTTGTGCCGCTTCAGACTATTTGGAGTAGAAAAATTCTTCCCACATCCTTCGTGATTACATCTAGGTAAAATTACACTGGTTTAACTTCTCTCATTGCACCTGCATAGTTTTTCTTCAAGTCACAAACAATTAAAGAGGGCAAAATAACCCAGACTTCCCTTGCCCAGAGATTTGTTCTGCTTCATCCCTTGTATAAGTAAGTCAATTCCATAACGCTTCCCATTACAGCAAGTTAAATTTTAGCTGAAGAATCAAACTTCATCTCCCTCCCTACATAGAGAGCTGTCCAAATACACAGAAGGTGGAAGCTTCAGGTGACTTGTACAATTCTAGCAGCTAGAGCAGCCATGCAAGCATTTACGCTCGTGTTTCAGACACCTTCAATGTTTGTTTGTTTTATTTTTCCACGAACCTGTAATAAATACTAGGAAAAGTGCCCAGAGAGCTGAAATTACAGTGCACTATGACTGCTGTTCACTAGCTAAAGAAGTGTACTGGCAACCATGACAGTATTCCTGCAAGTTTATTTTCAGGTTTTAAATGCCCCATCAATGAAAAGGTTGAGAGAAGGCACGTGTTTTCAACTGTAGTGTTTAAATTGTTGAAGTTCATCAGCAAAATTATCTACCTACTTGAAGGGTGGTTCATTGGTGTGCTGACACAGGTGAACTTTCAGTTGCTGATGTTTCCTGAAGGACTTGCCACAGCCTTCAAAGTTGCACTGTTTAGGAAATCAAGTTATTATCAGGCCAAACGACGACAGCCCAGTCCACCCATGCTGGCTGATATCCCAGTCACACGAACTCATGCAAATTCTGCATAACGAGCCCAGGTATGTCCTGAGGTACCACAAGAGGAGCTTGTTTAGCCTCACTCTGTAGCGCCAAAGGTCATCACTCACCGAATAGAGTTTCTGCTGATTTTCATGCTTGCGTTGAACGTGTTTCTTTAAGTTTGATTTTGTTCCAAACTTCTGATTGCATCCCTCAGCTGTGCACCTGCAAACAAAGCAACTTTTCTCACCGCACACAAAGCACGTACCCCCATACCGGGCAAGAGGACGACCAAGACAGCCGCGCTCACAACGCAAACAGTCTTTTTAAAGACATGAAAAGCCAGCGGGAAAGTCCCTATCGAAAGCCGCCGGAAGCCACGTAAGGGGGAGCTTCAGCAAAGCGTACGGCTTTGCTGCCGCCCCAGACGGCGGCCGACGCCCCTCGTCACGAATCGCACAGCGCAGGGGCGGCCCTGCCCGCTCCCACCAGGGCAACGCCGCAGACGGCCGAGGCCGGGCCTTACTCGAAGGGCCTTTCCCCGGAGTGCGTGAGGAAGTGCCGGGCGCGGTGGAAGTCCCTGGTGAAGCTCTTGCCGCAGCCCTCGTACTGGCAGACGTACGGCCTCTGAAAGAGACGCTGCGGCTCAGCGGCGGCGGCCGCAGCTCCCGGTCCGCCCCCGGCCGGCACGCGGCCCTGCCCCGCTCACCGCGCCCGTGTGGCGGCAGAGGTGCGCGTCCAGCCGCCAGCCCTTGTTGAAGGCGGCATCGCAGCCGGGGAACGAGCAGATGAAAGAGCGGGCGGGGGCCGGGCTCCTGACGCCGCTGCCGGTGGGCGCGGGCGCGCTTCTGCCGCTGCCGCTGGCCGAGGGCGCGCTCCCGACGCTGCCGTTGCCACTGCCGACGGGCGCTGGCGCGCCCCCGATGCTGCTGCTGCCCCTGGGCGCGGGCTCGCTCCCCGCCGCGCCCTCCACGGCCATGCGGGAGGTCACGTGGCCGCGATCCCAACCCCGGGCACCGCAATGGCCGAGGCGGCGGCGCGCATGCGAGGTTTGCCGAGGGCTGGGCCTCGGGGAGGAGAGGGCGGTACGGCGTCCTTACCTATAGGCTCGCGGCTCGGGTGTCGGTGATCTCTCGGTCTGTGATTAAAACCGTTCCTCTAAGCCGCCGGAATCCAGGCAGCAGTTATTAAGCGTCAATCTCAGGCAGGCCGGTGCTAGAGATACTCGTTTTCCTCTGTAGAGCTTCCCAGGAATGGGCCGTGCGTCCCCGTCAGGAGCTGAACGGATGTCACCTACCTGGGCTCCTGCAAAGCCTTTGGTGTGGTTCCCCAACACGTCCTGATCTCTGCACTGGGGAGATGCAGGTTTGAGAAGTGGGCCATTCGGTGGGTTAGGAATTGGTTGGATGGTCACAAACTTTGAATTTTTGATTAGCAGAAATGTGACAATATTTCTGTGGCACATGTGGTTGTATGTGGTGATATGATCCATCCATGCTCCTGTGGCCTAGTAGGTAGTGAAAGCAATGGTGTCATTGTCCCAGATCTAACCAATAAAACTATTTGTCTGTCTAAGATGAAAGCTCACTGTACACCAACACTGTATTCAAACTTCTCTCACAGAATCACAGAATGGCCTGGAGTTGAAAAGGACCTCAATGATCATCTAGTTCCAACCCCCTGCTATGTGCAGAGTCGCCAACCAGCAGACCATGCTGCCCAGAGCCACATCCAGCCTGGCCTTGAATGCCTCCAGGGATGGGGC